CCTTGATCTTTATTCTTCATCGAGCATTAGCAGTGACTAGATCTCGTTCTCCCAAACCCCGGTACGTAAATTCGTGTCAGAACATGAAGAAGATCATACTTCGAAACAGATCTTTTCTGGACATGAAGGTGGGTCTAGGCCATTCTTGACTAGCTTCCTCGCTCACGACGGTGGTTGTAATACTGCAGTGTGCGCATCAGGCTGATGCGCCAACCGCCATGGCCATATATGTACCGCATCGCAGTGCGCTGACATCGCGGTTTGCTTCTTCTCAAGTCTCTACTCCCAATTTTTCGATGCCTGAAACTACGATCCTCAGCTGTGAGAAACAGAGCCGAACCCCACCTTCGACAAGGAATCGACCGTCTCCCTTGCAATTGCAGCCCTTCGTCATGATCCAGCACCCTGTCCTCCACTGGCATAGATTTACCTTTTCAGAATCGAAGCATAGTCAATTCATGGGAAAATTTCGTTCAATTTTGTAAATGGCTGCACAGTCTCGAGATCCATAATCTGCTTGAATGTGCTTCAAAGTTCCCCGTAAAGTAATAAGCTAGTTTATGGAGAAAAATTTCGGATTCAGAAATTATAAATGATTTGAGGGGAGGTGGGGTGAGCGCCAGGCAAGGCGAGGGCAGCGACGGGCAATTGCACTCTACCATGGATTCTTCTCGCCTTCGGGTGTGCCTGAGCCCGAGCTCGTTACAGGGGCCGGATAATCGATGGAATGCTGCGCCTGTGCGATTGATGGTGATCCCGCTGACTGACTGGAGGGTAGTTTGAATGGGGGTAATGTGGTGGTCGATGACACGTGTCTCGCATCTACTGACCATGTGTCGAATTTGAATAGTAGAGGGTGCGAGCTCGACGGGTGACTTTTTGACGCGACGGTGACAAAGGGGAGACCGTCACGACGGTGACCGTATGCCGTCAGTCCACAGTCATACGGTCGGGGTTGTTCTAGCCTGCAGTCTAGCTAGCCCCATGTTTCGGGTTTGGTTCTGGATGTTTAGGCTGGATAGATTTTCCCGTCGTTTTTGCTAAGGGTGCCACCTGTTAGTCTATGGTTTTCTCCATGTCAAAAAGTAGACATGTCTTCGAAGCCTACGTCATGAATTTTGTCACCTGGCATTTGCAGTTGTAATATATACGCCCCGAAGAACAAACAACCAGTATATTAATACCAGATGGTAAACAACGGCGCTGCCACCGCAGCAGACGTACATAGCACGTCGATATACATTCTTCTTGAGCTGTCGGAACGCCACCACCACTGCCAAATGCTTTCAACCAATCATAAATCTCAACAAGAGTTTGTCTTACTATGCACAGGACACGTCAATCCCCTTTACCCTTAGGTAACAGCTTGTGACAATTCAAGCTACAACTATTCCTTTTGCTTTTGTTGGCGATAAGTTTTGGAGAGTCACTGAAACTTTGCAACGCATTGTGGTGAGCTCTGCGGTTTTCAGCCAAGTGATCATTTCGCGCTATTGTTGCTCCGCTAATTTTGCGCTAGTTCTCCATTCGTTCTTCTCTCATTTCGGTTATATGGAGAAGTAAATACATGAACCTGTCCACAGTGCACAGGAGATTCCAAAGCGCAAGTGCGTGGGAGTTACATGGAAACTGGAAACATAATTCAAGAGGAAAAAGGTGGCAACCAATACAAATTAATAATTTCACCCACAAAGTTGGAAGATCGGAAAAGGCAAAGGCTTTGGTTCTGTACTGAATGTCCTATACTCTCTGATGTCAGTTGTACTGTAGTCCAATACAGTCATTTCTGGCAGAGGAGGTTTTTTATGAGTTTTTTCAATCTTGCTTTTTGAAGATGTTTTGCTAGCCTAGGAAATTTGGTACTCCGTTTGATTGGTGCTTATAAAACTAACATTCGACTGGGAACATGAGGGTTCTATTCTCGAACGAATACATTTAGAAGTTACTATCCATTTCTTGAGTTATTTTTTGATAGACAGTACTGTACTCGACTCCACCATTTTGTTTTTGAAGCACCTATAGATCTTGGCAGTGAAGAATGATGCATCTGCATACAGCAGTCTCAGTTTAGAGTTAAAAAATTGACTTACGTTTTTTGGGTGAGAAATACGTCAAATTTATTACGATGTGAAATTTATGGGTAATTCATCTACTTATACTCATATCGCCAAATGCTTAAGTTTCATGGTATCACTCTGAGAGTAGTATTTGGATTGATAATTAATGAAGACACGGTTATTTTTGATATTTTGTGCCAGATGTAGCAATATTTTTCAAGTCGCACGGTCTTTCACCCCTATCCACAAGTCATCCCCTCCTTTTGCCACAGGCTTGGGTTCGGTTTTTCGTCATGATACTATGGCGATTTCTTGTATATGTTGGTACGGTGAGTTCATGCGCTTTTACTGTTTGTCAATAAAATTGAAAATATATTTATGTGTTCTGAACGCCATTCTCCATAAATTAACAGATTATGCTATAGAGGGGGCGGAGCATGTACAGTATTCAAGTCCCAAGATTATGAATACAGTACATATGAACTGAAGACTTCGGAAGCGACGTTTCTTGATCATGGCCTTACCTTCTAATTGATGGAAGATTGATCAGCGTAGAAATTTATGGGAAAACTATGGTCTGCTCTTCACTTTGTCGGAACTTAAACAAGATGTCAGAAACTGCAGAATCCTTCTCATCCTCTGCTCCCTGGAAGCATCGAGGCGTCTCGAGTGATTATTTACTTCGGACTCAAACCTCTGACTCAGACATATAATTCAGTCTAACCTAGCCGCTACTGATCTAGGTGTCCAAGAGTCGTTCGCCGAGTTCTTCTTAGTAAGTATCCACATAATTACAGTTGTCAGACACTCGCAAGACTGAAACATCGTGAAAAATGTGTTGTGTGGAAATCTTTGATTGGCAAATGCGCACATCCACGTGTCCATATCTGCATATTGCCAAGTGAACCTGTACGTACCATTCCAGTATGCACAACGGGCACAACGTATGTGCGCGGAAGAAGACTACTTCCATCCGTCCAAGAAGGACGGGGTTCCGACACTTCGGACGGACAAGAGTGGCTTGTAACAAAACGAGACAAATCCCTCGGGCTCCAAAGATGAGGGACGCCCATGGCTTTTAGAGAACCGGTAGCAGCCGGCGGAGAAAATACGTGGTATGGAATGACGTAGTAACAAGTGGTGACGTACTCAGTAAGTTGAGTCCTACTTCGGTAGGGGGAGTTAACTAACATTAAGCACGAGTCCATTGAACTCGGATCGTTTCAGTGCGTGCTCTTCATTGGCTTGTAAGGATCAAAACGTTCTCCATGATGTTCTATGTGAGGAAAATTGCAAGGCGTCTCAGGGTTACCTTGGTCGCTAAACTTCCAACATGATTGTACTTCGATTTTGCGAGAAATTGTGAGGAAATACCTCAGGAATTTCTGACGAAAAGAAGAGCCTTCTCCATATTAAGGACATTTAATGTGATTTTCTGCGTCTCCTCCTGTCACCATGCATAGGCTGAAAAGGAAGAGGAAAACGATTTGACCCTTGCAAAACTGATTCCTAGCATTTGAAGCCCCACCGATCAGAAATCCAGTACCACCAAGTTATGCGAGTGTCAGCATCGTATTGAGCGCAGCACTTCGTTCGCCTTCGTTGCCAGTCAACCTGAACAATAATACTCGGGCAGTGGAATGGATTGACCGTTGCTTTGCCTTCCTTACAGTATATGCCATGTCATATACCCAATACGGGCATATTCTCTCGGTGAAATAACGCTTTCTTCGAATCATTAAGTTTGATGTGGATAATGGGGATAATTCGGAATCTGTGCAGTCTCTGTGGGGCATTTCACCAGGTTAGGTTGAGTTGATGACCTGCATCCTTCGGCTTCAAGACAACCAAGTTAAGATATAAAATATGACTTCTGTTGATTTGCAAGTAAGAGGAGAGGTGTGGATCAAGGCATGCCCCGATACGGGGTGTTGTATAATAAACTCGATAATGTATAAGTTTGTCAGTCCGGTGATGAGATGCATGCATTGATAGAATCCGTGGTTTACTAGGGTAAGCAATTGGACAATTCGATTTGGCGGAAACGATGAAGCGATGCAAAATCTTTTCCGACAAAGATCGCCGATCACAAACATGCGAAATTAAGATGCATAATATAGAAGAGGTACACCGAGTAACATAGCAAGCAAGATGCGTAATTCGCTAAGTTCGGCTTCACAGAAACCATGGTGAGAAACCCAGGGATGCCCTGTAAATATGAAGATAGCCCCAAACAATTCGTAAACTTCGTCTCCCTTCGGATTCCGGCCCAAGATAAGAATGTTCAACTTTTATGGATCGCATTCAGAGGCCGGAGCTGAAGCTGAAGCGCAGAGGAGACCAGAGCAGAAAGGGAGGACACGGTTCAGAAGCCGCGGCTGGGACCGGGACCGCAGTTGCAGTGGACAGCTGACCCAGTGGATCTGGTCTTACTCGGGACAATGGGCCCGTGATATGAGGGTAAGAGCTCTAGAATTAGCTAGCCTTCTAACTTGAGGGTCAAGGTAAAAGTCAAGGTGGCGGGCAGGACCGTAAAAATAGAACTGGGAACTGAAATCCGGACACTGCCTCCGAAAGTTCAGTGCAGTACGGGTATCCACAGTGGCGACGTGGTGGCGCTGCAGGATCGGGCCATCGGCAGCCTGACGTCACAGCACGGCGGTCAATTCAATCGGGCATCCGGCAGCAGATCTCGGCCGGTGGATCGGGGCATCGACGATCGAGAGGAGCTCAACATGGTGCTCCGGAGCACAGCGCAGCAGGTCGGTCGGGTCTCAGTCGGAAACTGCGTCGGCCGTCGTCCGTCGCCGTGGGCCGAGCGCGGGACGTGGTGAGGCGGGTTAGAGGAGCGCAGCGGCGCGAGGTGGCAGCAGGACGAAACGCCAGCATGGCGCCTCTTTCTCTTTCTCTTCGCATTGCTTTGCATTCCAGAGTGGGGGAGGCGGAGGAGGAGGAGGAGGAGCTGGAGCTGGTGGCAAGAACGTAGCGCAGAGCGGAGCAGAGCAAGAGCAGCAGCAGCTTACAGCGTACAGGAGACGGCGCAGGGAGGGAGGGCAGGGGAGGGGGAGGGGAGGGGAGGGGAGGACGTAGAGCAGCAGCGGAACGCTTTCTCTCGCCCGAGCAGGGAGACGAATTGGACTCGGCAGGAGCAGGAGCTGGCGCCATGGAATTTTACTGTAGTCGTCGGTGATTGATTGTTGATTCGATTCGGAGAGTTTCTGCTATGGCTGCACGGAGCGATCGTTGCGCAGCAGCAGAGCGAACGAGGCGGACGAAAACCTGAGGAGAAAAAAGGAATCAGCTGATTTCATGCAGTTTCATGCAGGATCTAGGTAGTGAGGAGTGGGCGAGGAGCCACGGGGGCGCATGATGGCCCTTGCTAGGATGCGTCGAGGCGACGATGGTTGTGGCAGCAGGCAGCGTGGAGGATTCTTGAGGTCTGGAAAATATTTCGCAGTGGGGAGGTGGTGTAGGTCGGTCGAGGAAATGTCCTGCCTACACGGATTGGATGTACAGCAGAAGGAGCAGGTAGTAATCAATCACTTGTTTTGAATTTTAGTCGGCCAAATTGTGGAGTCTGGACGAGAAAGAGGTCATTCCGGGTTCTGAGTTCAATTTACAAGAAGCGGGAGCCGGAGATAAGCACTCAGATGCTCTTGAAGTCGTTGCTGTCGAAACTCTGCGTGATTGATTTCCAAGGACGAATTTCCTTAGTGACCTGCCAAACAGGGTGGTGATCGGGACATACCTCTATGCCATGTGGTTTCCCAGGTCTGCGCAGTTCGGAGCCATGCACGATGATTGGCGCGACAGTTGAGCTTGGGATGCAGGTTTTAGGGTAGTTTCGGTCGTGGATTTCTGAGCTTGGGGTTTGGAAAGGAAAAATCTTGAAGGGGTAGCAATGTTTGGGAGGGGTCGGTGGATTGTCGGGCACATGCGGCTGGCCCTCGCTGCTCCTGCCCCTGCTCTTCCAGTTCCTGTGTCGACGCTTCACACATGGGCTGTGATTGTGGCGGGAGTGTTCGTCCTCATAGCTCTAGCTCTGTCCACCTTCCTCATGTTTGAGCATCTCACGTGCTATAAAGATCCAGAGGTTTGTTCTTCTTCCCATCTGCCCGTCATGCCATGGTGTTCCTTCCGTGTCTTTTAGTGATAAAATAATTTCGAGGCAGTGCAAGTAATGCATGAACGTTTTGAGAATATAGTGTAAGCTCTTCGTTCTTATCAGTTTTTGAAGTCTATACACTTACTTTGTATCTTGGGAATTCAAAATCTAGGACGACTGGGTTTGTAGAAATTCCACGTGATTTTTTCCATTTGAATTTGGAGCTGTTTTCTCCAGGCTGAAGTTTCAAATCCATCCTTTGTCTGCTATTAATTTGACGCCAGTCCTGGTGAAGAGGTAGTCTGTTTACGTTTATTCTCTGGAGATTACAAGACTGAGAAATGTGCACTGGGCGGAACGAAGTCAGTTTCTTCGACGTCATAGACTTCATTCAAGACGCAGTTACATTTCGTGAAATCTGGAGACTGCTTTCTCTTTTCCCGCAGGGGGACGCTAGTGTTTTTCGAACGTATCCACTAGAGCACTGTACTTTGTCTGCCAGCCGCAAAAATATCTGTTGATTTCTGTATCGTATTTACACTAGACATACTCGCAGAGTCTCAGTTACTACCAAGCTGAGAAGATGATTGCTTTAAAACAAGTTCATAGCTCTTCCTTATTTCAAGATCCACAGCATCTTTTCGAAACCTGCTTTGGTTTGTGTATATTTTATCCAGGTTCATAGTCCACGTAGTGAAGTAAATCGATTAGTTCTGTAACCGTAACGAAGTAGCACTTGACCTAATTGCCCCTGTCCTGACCATGGTGAACGTACTCTGGATATATATGCGCAGGAGCAAAAGTGGTTGGTTGGACTGATTTTCATGGTCCCTGTATATACAGTTTCATCGGTAACGTCTTCTAATTCTAATTTTTTTAAAAGTAGGTGCTTGCGCAGGGTAGCCACAACTTTGTAGTTTGCTGCATCAACCCGATTGAAATATTTTTTGGCTCAGAAAGTTTTTTTTGTCTTCAGTGTGCAAGCTAGTGGTCGTGAAAGTGGTTCATGATTTTTTGTTCATTACTTGACTGTGTGAACGACTGTCTTGCAGTTTTTTTCGTTGTGGCACCCAAAGTATTCATTAGTTTGTAACATACTGGGCAATTGCTATGAGGCGTATGCTTTATACGCGTTTGGATGCTACCTTATTGCCTGCTTAGGTAAGAGCTTACATTCATAGTATGGCTACTTGTTCTGGTCGACGAGCATCTATATGTTGTCATTTGAAATTTGAGTAGTAGGCCGTATGCCCACATGTTCGCCTTTTCAAGTCTGTAAACCTGGTTCTTTTGGGTCGTCTTCTAATGTAGCAACGAAATCAAAATGTTTATGTTGCTGGTTTTCATGCTTTATACTCTCGGTTCTTCTTTCGCAGAAATGATATTGCTCTCGAAAAGGAGATTGTTGAAGAGTGTTGGTGCTAACAGTACTTCATAAATGTAATGATTGGCAGGTGGCGAGGAGAAGGTAGTAGAGCTTTTTGATAGGGAGGGAACGAAAGGTGCTCGCACGCCTTTATTAGAGAATAAATCTGGGAAAAGAGCAGATGTGGAGCATCCGGTACCTTTAAATTGGTGCATTGAGCCCTGGGAATTGGGGCAAGATTTCTATACAGCTGCAAAGTTTGGTATTGTCCAATATGTGAGTAGCTTGAACGTGATTTTTATAATTTTAATGTTTTAATCTGTAATAGGCACTGTAACTGATCTACTTCGGTAACGTACATCGATATGTATGGATGTTTGATAAACCTGAATTCTTGATTGTAAAGTGGAGAGAAGACTGAAGGCAGTTATAGGAGAATTAGCATTGTAGGTGGCGTGTAGGACAGATCGATTGAAAAGTGAGTTATTCTACACTTTCTTACCCAATGAGGGATAAGGAGTAGAACTCTGCATTGAACATGCATTATTTCAGTCTGACCAGTAAAGTTTTCAGTCAGACCCCGTGCACCTTTACTATAACCGTGGTGGATACCTTGATCGAATGTGTAAGATATGATATTACTTCCGTGTCGTAGCCTTCCAACCGTATGTTACAAGTAGATATTAAAGGGGCCATGAGTTGAGAAAAAACCATCTGAATAAGGAATGACAAGAGATATTTCTCTCGTACTGCGAGGGCAATTTACAGGCAGCTATTTTCTAATCAAGTTTTAGGCAGATGCTTTTTATTTTTTATTGTTATTGAGTTGGACAGCAAGACAATGGTTCCATTCCTAGTGTTCTACCTCTTAAATTGGTATCTTATGTGAGTTTCCGATTTAGGAATGCCAAAATATGCCGTCAAGACATATCTTGCAGCTGGGTTTGTAAGGGAATGTCTTTTGGATACATCATGTACTTATTTATAATCCTTCTTGATTGTTTTGGATTCTATGGCTTTAGTAGCACCCTAACACACCTATCTTGGTTTGAGACCTGGATCGTTCATTTCATCTTTGTTTCTACCATGAACTTCTCATTTGCGCTCTTCGCTATGCTTGTGTGTTAAGCCCTTGCAATAGATTACTTGTTATTTTGAATGTACTGCTCATCTTCTTTACATGCAGTATCTTTGGTACGGCCGTTTCTCACTTATACAACGATTTTAGGTTTGCTGTTGTGAAGGACGACTCGATTTCTTGATGGGCGGAGAACTAGGGGTTTTCTTCAACGCAGTGTTTCTAATAGCCCTAATATGTGACTGTCCTCAGATGATACTGAAGACTTTCTGTGCCTTGTTAGCACTGCTGTTGAATCAAGTGAACCTGTACAATGAAGGCGACTTCCACCCTTATGATGGGTAAGTTGTGATCGTAGCCTCAGGAGACAGGTTTTACGGTTTTTACGTCTACACTGATACTGCGAGCAGAACAATAACTATGCGTCGGAATTTTTTATTTTTTTCCAAATGCCTTGTCTAGACAATTGTATGAAATCAGGTCCATGCTCATATGTATCACGTGAGCATGTTTTGAGTTATATCAATTGTGCTTGTCTTGGTTTAGATTATGCAGTCAACTTGTTATGTAGATAGCGAGTAAATTCTCGCACACATCTGAGTGGCGTTTGCAGATCATGTTTTCACATAGAAGATATCAGGTCGAGCTTCCTTTTTCTCATGAGAAGGGTTCCGTTATGCTTATTTAGGAAAGCGTTACTTGCACAGGTTGAATCTCTGAACGTCCTATACTGAACGAAACAGTTATGGGTTTCGACTCTAACATACGAAGTTTTTCGGTCAAAATAATGTGCTTTAACACATAACTGGCCTTTTTCCCCTTTGTAGGTACCCTTACATCACTCTGGTACTGAACTTCAGCCAAACCTGGGCTCTTTATTGCCTGATACAATTTTATGGTCAGACACACGAGGAACTGAAGTCTATCAACCCACTCGCAAAGTTTATCTGCTTCAAGTCGATTGTTTTTGCGACCTGGTGGCAGGGCGTCATGATATCTCTCGCTTTCGGATCTGGATGGTTCAAGGTCGACTCCGATGTTTTCAGCGGAAAGTTTCAGACTGGTTTACAGGACTTTCTCGTTTGCTTTGAAGTAAGTAGCTAGTATTTTGTGTTCAGAAGCTCTTTTACAAGTCGTTCAAGCTATTTCCGTGATTATAACCTGGCTGTTCAATAGTTTTGATAGTAGTTTCAAGAATGTATGCTTTTTTACATTGTCAGTCTTTCCCTGCTTCTTATCACAACCAGAACTTTAGATAGTAAATACAAATATCTACTAGGATATGCTCGTTCAATTTCGTCTACGAAACAAACGAAGTAGCGATGATCTAGACTTGAAAAGCGGGACTCTAAAATTCTTGTATTTGTGTTTCGTACGTTTTTTATTGACATGGTATCGTATAAACTTTCTTTCCGCTGTAACGTAGTCTGACATGCTTGACTTACATTATTCTATGTTCTTGGTTTGTTAGAAATGCTTGTTAAAAAACAGAACCAAATTGTTGTTGATTGTTATTGTAACGTGGTATCTTCTAAACGAGGACTGTTGTATTTGTTTCTCGTATATGGGATCTCTAACCGTTCTGTTTCTTCTAACAAGTACCATAGTCCCACAGAAGTTCACGTTGTGAACTTCTCTGATCCTTTAAATCTACAAGTTAGGCATGGTGAAAATGGTTACCTGTTAATTCCTATGGTATGTCGTGAACTTATAAAGTCACCGCTAGATCAATATACACGTCTTCCAGCTTTCTTTGCCCTATCTTGAGAGTTGATTGTATTTTAAGTATATTAGCTTCTACTAAGTTTTGGCGCCTGTGTTAAGCAGATGGCGATTGCAGCTATTGCCCACATATATATATTTCCAGCAACTCCTTATCAGATGATGGGTCAGGACCGGAGGCGTGGTAGTGTGTCAGTGCTTGCTGATTATGCATCGATGGATTCCCCTTTGGATCCTGAGGAAATCAGAGAGAGTGAACGATCTACAGTCATGAAGTTCCCGCACAAGCAGGGAGATAAAGCTGGCGGGACAAGTGTTAGGGAGAGTGTCCAAGACATAGTGATTGTTGGAGGTGGTCATGTACGTTTCGACATCTGCTTCTGGAATCTGAAAACTTCTTCGTCACGATGGTCCTGGAGATGTAGAACATAGTTGCTCTGCATTGTCATTGTCGTGATATCGTCATATCATTTTCTGCTTGTGCTTGTGGGTGGTATGCTAAAAAGTTGATGGTGTAAAGTGCTCTACTGAAGTGCTAAGGTTGGCTGTGTGAGGCAGGTTGTGCAAGATATGAAACTGACTGTGCACCAAGCTGTCGAGCCAATGGAAAAGGGCATCAACAAAATCAACCAAACTCTCAACCATTTGCCATGGGGCAAACACAGGAAAGAAAAGGAGAAGGAAAAGACAAAGCCTAGGACAATGAGTAAAGATGACCTCTTCATCTCTCCGCAAAGCAGTTTTGGACAGCCAGTAAGAGGTATTGACGATCCCCTACTTGCTGGAAGTATGAGCGATAGCGGTGTAATTCGAAAGAAGTCTATGTCGTATGGCAGTGGAGCAGAGAGCAGTGGGGAGAGCAGTGACCAAGGGTTAGGCGGCTTCAGAACAGGAGGTAATCGATGGACAGTCAAAAAGTGAAATTGGTGACATCGCTTAGATTACACTTGTACTTACGGAACTTTTCAAAATTTGTGATCGCTCCTTGAATGTTACACAGTACACACAAGCTCTATGAGGGCATGCCAGCCAAAACTTTCAACAAACAGTGTGCCCCCTTGTACACTAGAAAATATATTGTGGGTATCAACGTGTGCCAGGATTGGCTCTTAGTCGCCCACCGTGACCTTTTACTCTTGCAATCACTGGTTGATTTCGATGTTGTTTAAGAGGTTTGTACATTCTACACACCAAGTCTCTAGCTAGCATTGGAACTTGCTCTACTCCAGTTCTATCGAACAAGTTTTCTGACATTGAGAAACTGTAGTCTGCTTCATCTACAGGCAGTCGCATGTTTCTCAAGTTTAGGTCTCCCAGCTTTGCGCTGTTCACAGTCTTTTACTTGGTCAAGAATTGGACAGAGTACATCAAATTTTGTTTGAACATTCCATCAAAACGTGTATTCGTGAATTTGACGAGTTGTTTCACGTCGATTCAGCAATTTTCCTGAATAGCATAGAGTCTGCCCTCTCTGCAAGAACAAAGTTAGTGGAGTACTTCTCGACCTTTCTTTATGGACTTGCTCTTTAAATTTGTGGACGAAAGTTGCTAAATCTAAGGGGAATTTCGCTCATCAAAAGGTTTCTCTGGAATAAATATGCCCGATTTCTTTTGAGCTTCTGTTAACTAGGATCCAGCCTACAATATTTTTTTACTTGTACGGTATCAACTAAGAAAGCAGCAGATAGACGTATTTAGAGCCCATTCTAGCCTTGTGTCTGCCATCATTGCCACCACCGAGAATTGTTGACCTAGTGACGTTTTGATCTTACAAATGAAGGTCTTTTTATATAATAATATAACAAACTCTTCTCTGACGTAGCTGTCAAATTCCGCTGTTAAATCTTAGTTGCCTTAGTGTTTGCATATGTTGGCGTCTAATTGGTCGCGTTGTTCAGTGTTCTACGAGGTGAAAACATCCTACAGCTCATTTGGAAGCAGTTCGTGCACAGCTTGGCGGTCTTTATCAACTCTCAAATACTCAGATCTTGATATGCATACAATCCTGTTCTCAGTGGGATTACGTGTATTATATCATTTGTGTTGTATCAAAAATCAGAAAAGTAGTTTTCGCATGAAGAAAGAGCTGGTCGCTTGTTGAATGCAAATTTGTATAACCGAATGTAGGAAATTATTGGGTTATAGTGCTGATAGACACGCAATCTGATATTCTCTTATTGCGTTTGTTTGTAATTCAAAAGGTGTACTTTGTTTTACGGCACAAGTTATTTCAACTTCAATACTAAAACTATTAGATGCCAGCACTCCCAGTATATAGTTTCGCTGTAAGGATGATTCAGAATACATCCACTAGAGGATATGACGGTGAACGTGACAGCGAAGACAGTCGAACCTGGCTAGATGCAATTACTGCCAGACTTGTCGGATGAATGTATTCCGGGGATGTTACTCTTAGACTTTAGGACGACTTTATTTATTAACGAATTAGAAAAAAATGAGTTTTGGAGGTTCAATGGATTCAACTCTCGCACTTTTGATGCATCGTCAGACTTACTGAACTTCAATACTCACGAACTTACAAAATTTACTGAACTTCAATACACACGAACTTACAATTTGTACTCGTAAAGTTTCACCATAGCTACAAAGAGTTGGAGTTATCTTTCATTTGGCAGAATATGAATTACTCCAGTATTCCCGTCTACATTTTGCAAAGACGAAGTGCTTGATTCACCTCCAGTTTCATGCTTCGAAGTTTCGACTCTACTTTACTTGGATTATTTCAAATATCTCAGATTTATTTGGAACTTTTCAAATTTTTCTACTATCAAGTTTTCACTACTTCCAGAAATAACATATTGCTCCAAAATGTATATTACTCACATAGACAACACATAGCTAATCACTTCAATTTTCTATCGAGCATTGGAAAGTCGACGGAACCCTGAGCTTGAAGACGGGGCGTAGGAAGTCGATAGCAGCAGATTCGGGTATGTAAGTATCTCACACGTGATGCTCACCCGTTTACTCTCCCCGCCAGAAACTCATCGAACGTAACTTGCCTTCACCATGCTGTTGTGACACCATTCCAATCCCAGCTCGTGATCACGTCCTAAACTCGATGCAGCTTCTCCTGCCTGGAGAATTCACGAACCAATCTGAGCAAAGCAGCGCAGACCGAAGTTTCTCGCACGCTCATGTGGACATAGAAAATGTTGTGTTGCGATCTCGAGGCCAGTTCTCTGAATATGGCCTTGACAAACACTTTCATGTAAAAGAGATGAAATTCTTTTCTTACCTTATGTTTTAGTATTGATTTTTTTCTGTCTTGGTACTGATTTGTTTTCTGAAATCATTGAAGTTTCAAAATCGACCCAAACCTTTGTTAATGCGGCATGAAGTTTGAGAAAAAAAACAGCATGTCTTCATGACGCTGAGCAAGAGATATCTTTATTTCTTACCATATCTCCACATGGGAGAGGTGTTTGAAGGTGTGTGAAAACTCACATAAACTTTGCTTACCTTAGTAAAGAGCAAGTAGCCTATTTACAAGTTTGCTACTACCCCTGCTACTAGTACTCTTCAAACACACAAACTCTCTTGCCATCAAGGCGCAAGTAGCTTATTTACAGTATTGCTAGTACCCTCTACTAAGTCCAGTACTTGTTCAAAAACATAGCTGAGTCTGCTGCAACTCTCTCGCCATCTTGATTTCGATGCCATGTGAAATATGCATGGGTGTGATTCTGAATTTCCAGCAAACCGTGTCCAAAACTCGCCTCACGGAAAGCAGAATATGCTGGTTGAGGGTCAGTGAATCTGAAATCCCACAAACATTAGTAATTGATATATATAATAAATATAACTGTTTTGAAATGATTGATAAATATGCAGAAAATCAAAGATATTAAACAAGTTACTTACGTTCCCGCCAGTCCTTCCACATTACCACCGTCTCCAATAACAACGTAAACTGGAGCAGAGTTGTCATTCTTGGGCGTACAAAGTCCATTTACAATGTTATATTCAACATTGGAAACGGGATACTGAAACAAAGAAGATAAACAAATTTGTCAATAATTAAATAAAATATTCACAAAGTGTCTATTTTCAGATGGATGGAAGACAAACAAAAAGAAACTTACTGTTCTTTCGTAAGCATGAACATGTCCTGAAAAGACTATGTCGACTTTGTACTTTACGACAAATGGTTCGAAGATGACCCGCATAGTTTCACCCTCATAGTAGTGGTAGCTGTTGCTATTGTACCATGGTGAATGCACTAAAATAATCAGCCATGGAGTAACACTTCTATCCACAGCTTCCAAGGTTTGCAAAAACCATTGATACTGCGGTGTGTACTTTCCTGCACAATGCACCACATCCTCAAATACATGAGAAATATAATATATTTTGATATTAGAAAACAGATTCCAAAATAGAATTATAGAACAAATCAGTAAAAAGTTTCATGAAGCAGCGTTTGAAAACAAGAAATAATTAAACCTGATACCAAGAATCCCAGTGATACATACCATAGGCTGAATAAGAAGACAAAACTATAATTGTGGCAGGTCCTCGCTTGATTGAGTACCACAGCGGAGATGTACTACCTGAAGCTTCGAATGGTACATGATATCGGTGGATGTATGGCTGAAAAGGAATAGTTTCACCCTGCAATATCCGTGAGAAGCGAAATAAACTTATCAGAATCATACCCGCATACAAGGCTAAATTAGTGCAACACAAACAATATCCATGAGAAGCGAAGTAACCTGATCAGAATCATACCCACATATAAAGAATCGTACCCGCATATAAAACTAAATTAGTGCAACACAAACAATATCCGTGAGAAGCGAAATAAACTGATCATGAGAAGCGAAGTAAACTGATCAGAATCATACCCACATATAAAACTAAATTAGTCCATATTCCACACTCCCAAGCTTGGGAGAAGAATAGGGGTACATAAAAATCAAAAACAGTTTTCAAGTCATTCAATGCACACATGAAAGTGCTTTCAACCAGTCATCACGGGCAAGATACGAGTACTTACAACTTCAGGAAGGTAATCCAATTCGTGGTTGCCTGCTGTCCAGATCCAGGGTTGATATGCTGTGCTTCGCTCCACTAATCGCCCCCACGTATCCCAACGAACGTTATTGTCAAAAGGATATGCATCGGCGTAAGACAAGTCTCCGACGTATAAAACTGCTTGTCCGAAACTTTTCATGTAATGTTGCAATGTGGACACCGAATCCATTGTTTGTCCAAGATCACCTGAAAATCAACACGAAACTCGGATACTAAGTCATTCATCTACAAGAATATTGTAGAAGTTCCTAAAACTAACCAAACTGAATGCTCACCAATAAGAACTTCAACAAGAAACTTGGATAATAAGTCATTCCTCTATAAAAAAGACGACAGGACTCATGGAGATTAAATCATTCATCTGCAAGAATACTGAACAAGTTCCTTAACAGTATCCAAAACTGAATGCTCACCAATAACACCGAAGGCGTAAGGAGTGTCCAGTTTGCTCTCTGGGGGTGTGACAAAGGTGAATTCGCGAGCAGCATCTCCCGTTCCGAGCGTGTAATAATACCTGGTTCGAAACTTTCAAGGTAAAATATTGTGAGTACCTTTCAGTAAAACACTCAATGAATCTACAATCACACATTACAAAGTTTTGGAAAAAAAAAATGAATGGCTGAAAACTTACTTCAAGCCCGCTGATTACGGCTTTGTGAATATATCCTGATTTGTACGTGTAAAAACTATAAGTGTTAGCTTCTCCTGTGACTGATGTGGTGTACTTTGAACCCGGAGCTTTTCCGTATAATACTTTACTATCTCCAGCTTCATCCGGGGTGATCCATGATATTATCACGGCTTTCCCCTCAAAATCTCCCTGATGAATATGTACCTGCGAACCAAAACTCACTTTCATGTCATTAGATTCTAAGTGTTCAAATCCATCCAAAAACATCTACCAACTTCCATCTTCCAACAACCATCAACTTTATATCCAGTTAAGATCATATTTTCGCTTTCAGAAAAAACAACTAGAGCCCTGAAATCTGAGAGCCATGGAAGGAATCTGGACAACAGACTTTAGCAGGAGTTGGCACAGAATTACATTCGAGTGTCAATTACCACTGCACAGAATTACATTTGAGTGTCAATTACCACTGCTTTCAGAGAAAACAACTAGAGCCCTAAAATCTGAGAGCCAGGGAATGAATCTGGACAACAAACTTTAGCAGGAGTTTGCACAAAATTACATTCGAGTGTCAATTACCACTGATTTCAGGTCCAGCACACATCTAGCACACATCCAATATAATAACATATAAATAAGTAAAACAACATTCTACGAATAGATGCTCATCCATTCAGAGACCTCAACTCAGCATATCATACTAGACTTTCACTAGCCTAACCTCAAAAGCGTATAATTCCTAGTGAAAAAACCTAAAACGAATCAATTAGTGAGAATTCAAGAACTTTGTCATTAACTGATTGCAAAAGTTTGCGAGCTACTTACTTGTTGAGGAGCATTGTATCCTTTTGGAATCTTGAAATAAGTGCTGTTCTCTGGGAGGTCCACACCCTCTTCGAGTCGGCGCATGTAGCGACTTGTAGTGCTTGCACTGCCCCAGCTGGTGCAACACAGCAACATCAAAGTGATCCCGAGCCATATCGACATATTCAACATCATTATCTACAGCCACAGATAAATTCAAGTCACCATCAAAGTGATACCGAGCCATATCGACATATTCAACATCATTATCTACAGCCAAAGATAAATTCAAGTCAGAGGCAAATGACCATGCAGCATAGCTAAATTCGAAATGATCGCAGCAAACACAAAAATACAATTCTTACGAGAAACCTTCCCTTCGCCGAAGATAAGCGATCCCTGCAAACACAAAAATACAATTATTACGAGAAACCTTCCCTTCGCCGAAGATATACTTTGGTGAGACTACGTTACAGACTTTCAAATTCGATGCCCAATGAAGCAGAAGAAGTACAGAGTGTGCAAAAGAAGTTATAAAATCTCTGTAATTGCAATCAAAAAGTGCATGGGCAAACCTGATGCAGATGAGGACAAGCTGTTCTGCGCATGCTGTGTGTTTACAAGGTCTCCAAGGACAGCAAAAGGCCGTGGACTTTGGTGAGACTACGTTACAGACTTTCAAATTCGATGCCCAATGAAGGAGAAGAAGTACAACGGGAGAGTGTGCAGAAGAAGTTATAAAATCTCTGCAATTGCAATCAAAAAGTGCATGGGCAAACTTGATGCAGATGAGGACAAGCTGTTCTGCGCATCTTGCTCGGCTTTCAGAGCAAGATGCGCAGGTTGGACAGGGCAGCCGAGGAGAAGTAACAATTTTGCAACTCTTATCATGAACAAGAGACAATATAGAGGAAAGCTGGATAAAGCAGGGACAGCAAAAGGCCGTGGACTTGGTGGACTTGGTGAGACTACGTTACAGACTTTCAAATTCAATGCCCAGGGAGAAACTTGACTGTCAATGCCCGGAGTGCACATGTAAAGACCTTTACGGAGGATATGATTGCCAGTGTGAATGAGATCTTCATTACATCAAGGAGCATGATACCTGCATCAGCAAGAAGAACGCTACAGGCAAAGTGGGATGGCTAGTGATAGTCGTTGTACTGTCTGGTTTATCAATGATCGGAGTTGGTTGTTACATGGTCTACAAGTATAGGCTCAGGTCATACATGGACTCGGAAATCCGTGCCATCATGGCTCAGTACATGCCTTTGGACAGTCAGACCGAGATCAAACACCATGACAGATCGGAAAACTGATAAACTAAATGTGCAATTGATTGATTTTCGAGGTGGCCTTTCTACCAGCATCCTCTCGTTCGAACTTCGGAGTATCTGCAGAGCTCCTCCACTTTCAATTGATGACCTCTTTTGATCGCGCGAAAGTCGTAGTTTCCAGCTCTCAACCATATGTGACATGTACTTTGTCCATGAAATGAAAAAAATCTGAAAAAATGAAAACCTACAGCGATACCTGCTAGAAATGTGTCCAGGCCATTCCTCTCTTTGTCTGTTCAGTGGCTTCCAGGATTGCTGGTGGTTAACGAATCTCAGTCGTGAGCTTGGTGGTCTGTCAACGACTTTCGCCACATGCGAGTACAGTCGTCCACTGATCTACTGGATTCTGTCTGAGAACGCGGTGGAGTCCCTCCGGAGCGAGCTACATTCTTGCGCCTTTTGACTACTCTACGTAACTTCGCGGCGGCTATGGCGTCTATGAGCTCACATAGACAGTACACAGTACCCGTGAATGAATGCATGCAAAGCTTTGGTGTTACATACCACGATGAGACGCCCGCCACGAGCTACTTCGCCTTCGCCTTCACCCCGCAGTCTACAATCCACTTCACTGCTCTGAATTCTCACGTAGCTATTTCTCGTAGCAACACTCAGCAATGTATCAAAATCAGAAACTAGGCGATGCGTAAAGAGTAAAGCCTTCGCCTTCACACCGCGACTTCACCCCCTCACCCCGCAGTCTACAATCCACTTCACTCCTCTGAATTCTCACGTAGCTATTTCTCGTATCAACAATCTCACTTCACCTCTCTCTCAGCAATGTATCAAAATCAGAAACGAGGCGATGCGGAAAGGAATATGCGAAAGTATAAGTATAAGAACTATACTTTCGCATATCCAACCAACTGTCCATCATTTTGTCCTATCACAAAATGTTCCACTTTCGCATATTCAACCAACTGTCACTCATTTGTTAATATCACTCACCATTACATTTTGGCTAAATCGACCCGACAGCATGTCATGTCATCTCCCAAGACGAGGTAGTAATGTTGCTTATTTTAGATCGAAATTAAGAAAGGGCGAAGCTTATTTATTATATAGGTGGCAACCCTGTCGGCTTGCCTCACCTACTTGGTTACCGGCGTCTGCCCGGTTGACCGTGTCGCAGGGACTCCCTGCAGTTGGGGGCTTTGGCTCGGCCCGCGGTCCTAGTCCCGCCCTGCCTCCCGAGTGATAGGTTTGACCCGGCGGGCGGCCCTGCCGCGTGGCAGGAAGTGGCGATCCTCCCTAAACTTCGTTGCCGTGGTTACCGGCGTCTGCCCGATAGACCGTGTAGCAGGGACTCCCTGCAGTTGGGGGTTTTGGCTCGGGCCGCGGTCCTAGTCCCGCCCTGGTAGGGATGGGCACGGCTCGGCTAACAGCTAGCCGGCTAAATTGGAGGCCAAGCCGGCTAGCTGAAAGTTAGCCGGCTACGTGCCTATCCCTAGTTTGACCCGGCGGGCAGCCCTGCTGCGTGGCAGGAAGGGGCGATCCTCCCTAAACTTCGTTGCCGTGGTTACCGGCGTCTGCCCGGTTGACCGTGTAGCAGGACTCCCTAAAGTTGGGGGTTTTGGCTCGGGCCGCGGTCCTAGTCCCGCCCTGGTAGGGATGGGCACGGCTCGGCTAACAGCTAGCTGGCTAATATTTTTTGTTAGCCGGCTAGCCGATAAATATTGCCACCTCTATCCAAGGCCTAAAACAAACCGTAAACTTGGACCTAATTTACGACCTCAGCTTCGACCGAAATTATCTAATAAACAATTATTTCGGTTGATTGCATTTTCGGGTGGGGGCCGATTAGCCGCTAAATTTGAGGCCAAGCCGGCTAGCTGAAAGTTAGCTGGCTACGTGCCCATCCCTACGCACGGCCATGCGGCAGGAAGTGGCGAACCTTCCTAAACTTCGTTGCCACGAGGAACGCGGTTGCAAGACTATCATGTACATTGTCATTTCGGGCCAAGGAGTCCGTTTGTCGGAAGATGGAGAAAGGATATGTAAAGCTTGAGGGGTCAGGACAAACTCTTATTCGCGCCCCTTCCTGCCGCTGGGCGTAGCAGGTTGCGGATGTGGGGTCCCAAACAACTGGGTGGCATGGATAACTTCCACAATCAGTGTTTGGATTCAATATCGTTTGCAAGCAATGCCCCGAGAATGTTTTGGATCTCGGACGGCGATTGTTGCAGCCCGAATCCGCCATGCCAGCCCCTAGGTGCCAGTACGCGAGGGCGAAGGCGAGGATGAGTCATGTACGCGAAAGTCATCATGCCGACCATCCTCAAGCCAAGATTAGCAAAGAAGAGCAAGAGATTCAAAACGTTTTTGCGGTGTGTTTCTCTTCTCTTCTCGGGGTCTTGATCTTGAATACAAACATTACTCGCGAAAGTCGCTAATTCCATCCAATTGTCTGGCAACGCACATGCGCAACCTGCTATGCCAGAGCCCTCTCGCGACCAGATCCCGGAGCACGATCCTTGCAGCCCGAAACCGCCATGCCAGCCCCTAGGTGGCAGTAACCGAGGGCAAAGGCTAGGACTAGTTATTTACGCGAAAGTCATCATGCCGACAATCCTCGCACCATGATTAGCAAGAGATCCGCGGTGAGCTTCTCTTCCCGAGGCATTGCTCGGAGACGAACTGATCTCGATCGGTGAGCTTCTCTTCTCGAGGCATTGCTTGGAGACGAACTGATCCGATCTTGAATCCAAACATTGGTCTGCAATTTGTCTTGGCTCGTAAACATGGAACAAAGTACTTCCCCAGAAATACTTGAACTCCACTGCCTCCTCTTTCAAGGCAGCTGAAACTTTCTCCTCGGCGTTCACTCGGAGTTCATCTCCTCGTGGTGTGTGTATAATGCGTCGGCACCTTCTCCTGGCCTACCAATTCTGACAATCAATTCAGAGCCCCTCTCCCTCAGATAGTCCCTCAAATTGGATACACATTCTAGCAGAAACTTGGCTCTGTAAGGACCAGTCTTGTCAAACCCAGAAGAGGACTTCCAGAAGAGGATCAAAGCAGTATACATGCACGATTGACATACTGTGATTACTAGCTTGCACAAGAGCTTCGTGGTCGTGAACTCGAAGATCATTCCTGAACCATACGATTGTGGCTTTCCTCAAACCTGCTGGGTTCCTAGGTTCTCCGAACTGACATGAAGGGCTTTGAGCTTTCCAGATCGTCTCTGGAAGCAACGACGATTTCTTCTTCAGCGTCGCCACTATCAGTTTCACTCGCTTGTGAACTCGCTCTCGCAAATGCGAAGAGCATCCATTCCACTGCAAGGGTTTCTCAAATTCAAAATGTGTTTCTCAAAATTCAAAATTCAAAATTCATTTCCGGCCTTCTTCACTCTCACATTTTCGACCTCCACACCGAACCCAATCAAGCTCAGCAGATAATGATGCTCGGCAAAATCTCTTAAATAAGAATTCACCTCTTCATAGCCTGGATAACGTCGCTTGTCTCTTCCTTCTTTAGCAAGAAGAGGAAAGGTAAAATTAAAAAACCCATCAATTCGCGAGGTAAGTTGGTGCGCAATGATGCATACATACTGCTGTGCACCCGTTTCCTCTGGGGATCAAAACTTAGAGGATCAGAATCAGCCTCTGGAGCGTAATTCCAAACACCACCAATCTCCGAGGATTTTTCATAAACAACCACATCATGTCCTTCAAGAGCAAGTTCGACTGCTGCAGCGAGACCAGCCGCACCAGCGACGATCACAAGAACTCTTTTGATTTCAGCTGCCCCACTTCTGCCATCCTCTTCTTTCAGTAACTCTTCCACATCAGATACCCTTCCTTCCGCTGCCGCTTCACACAAAGGTACATCAGATCCCGCCGGCATGTTTGCCCGATTTCAACCCGAATTTCTTGAACACTCGTCCACTGACCTTGTCTCCAACTCGTACTCTAACGTTTCTCTGAAAAACTCAGAAATTCACCTCAAATCGCCCCGACCTCAACACGAAAAAAAAACTAAAAAAACTGTCACGTCGAATTCGATGTCTTTCAGTCGAATTTCTCGAGCTGTAATTTCACTGTCGAATTCTCCTCGAGTTTCGTCCACGATTTCTTTCACAAATAGAAAACCTTCACCTTCCACTACCGGAGAACTCAACCTCAACCTTCGTGAACGACCTCGAACTTCTGCAGCTTGACAAACTTCTCTGACTGTCAACTCGTGACGAATCTGTATACAACCTGCAAAAAACATTCACACTATCTTCGAGGCACAATTGTCACACAGTGGTAACTCACATAACAGAGTTCTCAGTTACACAGAGGCACAAACTCAAATCACTTTAATCTAGCAATATTCCGAACGGAAAAAACACTGTCGCAGAAAACTGCAACCTTCCGAACAGTCACAAATTCAATTTCAACTAGAAATTATAGATTATGTACTATGAACAATGATTTAGCTAATGGGCAACATTACGGTTTTCAAAGTTCAGTAAACATGTTCGTAACGTTTGGACCAACGATGATGTATCTTGAGATTTGAAACAATGTTAGATTCCGAAGTTGGGAAAGAGGTTGGAAAGCTCACCATAATAGTTACTGTACAAGACAACTCACATGGAACCTTTTACGTCCAAGCAATTTATGTTTATTGGAGCAACATGTGTTCATTTACTTCTCCATTCATTTCACCCTGAACTGCAGTCCCAGTTTCAAAGCCAGGTCCCCAGTTTGTTCCTTGTCAAGACATATGCAGTGTTATCAAAATTCTTCGTAAATCACTACCACCAGTATGTTTTTCATGTGCAACTTTCGAGTGAGACGAGAGTGAGTGAATAGATATTTGCGTAATTGCTGTTCGAGACAAGAGATCTTATCTCAACCTTCTCAACCGAGAGTTGCAAAGAGCTTCAAGATTTCCATTCAAGTTGAACGATACCAGCGTCTCTATACTAGCACACAATTTCGCCAATGCTTTAATACGGCAGCAAAGCCAGGATTACCAACTGCAACACAACAATAATTGGTATGATGTGGTAATCAAGATCTTGGAATATTTTATCAACTTGTGAACAGATCTGATGACGATTTGCTTCTAGTCAAAGTAGGCTGGAAAAGGTCAAAACTTCTATCCTCCTCCAAACTGATCAACGTCAAGTACGTGGGATCGTGAAGGATCTGTTTCGCAACAACATAACCGGCTATAGACCAGGTCTGATTTTTCCTGGCCTGTTTGCCAATGTATCTCCCCAATTTTCCATCGTAATATTCTGGCCAGCCATCATTCATCAATCTCTTTTCCATGAGCTCAATAGCTTTGCGTGCCATCTTCGGTCTTCCAGTCTTTATAGACGCTGCAGTCAGCATCCAGATGAGAACTGCAAGAAACAAGTACTCGTCAAGAACAATTTGGAGTGCACACGCTTGCAAAATCCAAGGAAGTCAATGACATGATGATTAACAGTGTCCGGTGGTTGGAAACTATGAAACTGACACTTCCTCTTGGAGCTAGCTATATATATAGTGTATTGTATGTGTATTATCCTGACATGAAAGCAGAATTTATTTGAGTCACAGACTCAGGTGAAGTGGACTAGCACCTTGTTCAAGATTTGGATGTAAGAAATATAGTTACCTGGCCAAGAGCCACCGTTGTGATAGCTCCAACGTGTATTCTTCGGATCACAACCGGTCACGATTTGCCAATCACGTGATTCCAACGCAGGATAGCAAACTTTTAAAGGCATCTCCCCGACAAGTTCAGTCCACCTCGCTTCGATGAGATCCATTATCGCCCCACACTGCTCTTGAGTGGGCAAGGATGCCAAAATGGCTACACAATTTCCGATAGTAAACCATCGGAAATCCATTCTAGCTGGACTAACGTTTCCAACGAAGTATCCTCCCTTCATGGGCATCCAGTCAAAGAGCCAGTCAGGGATAGAGTCAGGCATAACATTGAACTTGTTGACTGCCGTCTCAGAGTACTCTTCCGTCTTGTATCTGTAAATATTGTTCAGTTGCTGATGATCTAACCAGTAGTATGTCCTAATGTGATAGCTCAACGCATTTAGTCTTTCCTCTATTCGGTTGCGGAGCTTTTGTCCTTCTTCGTCATGTTTCAGCAGCGAATTCGCACAACGTAGGGCCATGAAGAAGAGAGACTGTATTTCCAAGGGATACCCATACATTCCCTGCACAAAGACGCAGTCCGATGTCGCAGTCAATCTCTGAAGAAAAAGCAAACCTTGACAAATAATAATGCACAATTAAAACCAGCGCAAGGGCTTACTACATCACTTCAGAGTAGGAACAAATCAGCACTTAGAAGCAGCTCACCTCACCTAAAACTTTATAAGCTGTCCACGAATAAAACGGTCGCACAGGTGAAGTAGAAACTCACCATTCTACGGTCGATCATGCAGCAGCCATCAGCACAAAGAAGTGTTGGGAATGTGTCAAAGCCATCTGAGAGGCAGAGCATCAGGATGAGCCTCATTCCACTTTGACACTCTGGTAATTCTGCAAAGCCGTGATCCCCTGTCGCCTTCACATAGGCTCGAAGTAAGAAGATCCACCAGAATCCTGAATCTACAGGCGCTACTCTACCAATCGCAGCTTCTCCAAAGTCTGGTTGGATCCCGTCTCCGTCACTATTGAAGCTGGCAGGCATCACGCCCGCTCCTAGTCTGAACTTATCGATAAATTTTTCCAAAGCCTGGAGACGAAGTGACTCCCACAAGAAGTTCCTGACAATTTCACCTTTATTAGCCATCAGATATGCCAAACCGCTCGGAACGAAGTCTCGGACGAAAACCTGCTTCCATGAAAGACATGCAAACAAAGTGTCCACAATCAGCACTCCGAACATCCCAGTCTCACATGTTCCTGCACTAGCAATTAACCCCGGGATATTAAGGCTTGGAAATCACATTTTCATGAATACAGAGAACACTTAAATCTGCTGGCGATAGTTTCGAGTCCGAAGAATTTCTAATCGGTGCAGATTGCGTCTAGGACAAGCTTTACTGAACCTTGAGGCCCTTCTCACATAATTGTCGATCCTAGAATCTAACCTCAGCCTTGGAGGAAGAATGTTGAAGGGAATATACGTAACAGGCGTCTATCACTGATTGTATTTTTCCGCTCTCTTCACACACACTTAGGCCATACATGAATAATGAACCAATCCAGTGACGATTCATGAAATGCTTGGATCGTTCATCTCCCTCGGCATGTGCACCCATGCATTTCAACTACATCAAAGAGAGCAGGAAAAAAGACCTTTGCTACATGAAGAGGTTCAAAGTACGGTCATCTCGCCACATGCTACTCTTTGCCAACAAATTCCCGCATACGTGTTGAAGCAAAGCGTCAAGTCAATGCAGCTCTCGAAACGGAAGAACATGCACACCTGATTGTAGTTCAAAGTCTCCACACTAGAATCTTTCTTAGCGGCAAACGTTCCGATCGGTTTGCCATCGTGATGCACCACAGACTTTTCTAGAGCTTCCCAAGCACTGAGGAACATTGGTTCGCCGTAAGGATCCGAGCGAGGATTAGGAGTAGGAGGTACTTGAGGAAGCAACATGTTCGCGAAATTATCACAACTTTGAATGGGCGTTAGTCTTCCGGGGACCGCCTCGGTCGATTCTACTAGATTGTCTATACACTCGCTTAATGTGTGTTCATCCAAGGACAGGTTACGGCGTCGTGGATGCTCTTCTTTACCATGAGACTCTACATCTGGACCTTCCACAGACGGTTCGGCCCGCATGCTGACGTTTTCTCTCGCTTCCGCAGCCATTGTTCCGAGGAAGAACGTACGTGCGTGATGGGATACTGATGGTTTCACAAATCTCAATACGCTTTGCGAGTCTGGATCCGGCCCTTAGTCCAAGATGGAGATCCACTCCCACCGGGAAACAAGTATCGTCGATTCAAGACAGACGGTCGAACCAGCAATCCTAGAAAAGCAGCTGCTGTACTTCAGTATGTTTGTCAGTGCTTGCGGCATCAGCCGCTCGCGGTTGAGTGTTTTCAGTTCTCAGCTTCTAGGCTACCACAGGCCTCCTAGCGATCGATAGGTCCGGACAAGTTCAAGAGCTCAAGGGAGCCACATCAAACTAAGCGCATCGGAGCTCGACAGCAGAAAGCGCCCCGAGGATGGATGTGGGTAAAGGACCGGTTTGATCGAGCCCTTTTTAATTATGTCGACGAGACGACCCACCACCTGATCGGTGCCGTGGCTTATTCTTTTCGGTTGTCGATTTCCCGCAGGGATCCGGCTTGAGCGTGTCGCTGATTGGGATCTCTTTCTATCACTCACTCTTCACTCTTCACGTTATTGTCTTCACGATGCGTTTCCTTGGGACGTGCATTCCTGAACAGTACACAGTGCAGAGACGACTTATTGAAGCATGACGAGCTTCGTTCAGGTGTCCTGAGGAGCGCTCAGAAGTCTTCATGGACCTCATCCGATCGACGGTGGCGGACTTGTCGAATATTATGCTAACTTGCTCGCAGATAAAAGTATGCTGATGGCCACGAGCAAGATCAATTTGAACTCCAAAGATGCGAAGTCAACCACTTTCTTGCCGGACGATCGGCTGATTCCCAGGACAGTGACAGGTTCCCACCTCTATAACATCCAGTGTACAGAGGATCCTGTAACATGGTATATCAGTGCAGCTTACGCCTGACTCATGACCAGATGCCCCCGCAAGCAATGCCATGTCCTTTGAGAAGTGTGCAGGCCTCGTCACCGTTTGTCACAGTATGCGGCAAACTCACAATCACAAGGTCAAGAACTAACGCTAGTGAGCGTCTGCTACATCACTCCTGAGAATTTTAGATTATAATACATGGAGATCGACTCATCGAGCACGTTGGTTCAATATGGGTCCAAAATTATTTCATCGATCTACTGTTCAATGAGTTCGGTTGGTTTTACGATTATTCCTTGGCTCTGCACATGAAACACGTGCGGGTTAAATTAGCATAATACATGTTTTTTCTTGGCAAATTCCCACGCTTTGTGTTTTTGTGCAGTCGTGCTCGCTCTGCAATGGAGAACGAAACTCCATGTTGAAGTGGTCGGCAGCAAATATCTGTACGTTGGTCTCCTCATATGCAGTCACTTTGTTGCAACCATTGAACACGCTCATCATGTACATCAAGGACACTGTCATATACTCTCCTTATATTCTCGCAATTCTAACCTTAGCCTGACGTCCCTATCTTGAAGCCAACTCCACCAGCGGGGAATTACACCACCTTGAGCAAGCATCACAAATCAGCACTCTTGCCTTTCTCTCTGTCAGGTTGTGATGATACAACAGTTTGACCATGTAAGATTCCATCGTCTTATTGTGGGCTGTATACAGAGCCCACGCTTATCCTTATTATGAACTGTAGATCAACATAGTGTATGATTGATTTCGAACGAGCTTCACCGACATGTCACGATACTGTGCTCTGAAACATAACGATTTGGACACAAAAGAGTGGAATGAGATTTAACTCGAATATACTGCGGAGTTAAACTTCACCTCGCAACACACGAGGAGAAAATGTACCTTTCCCCAGCTCAGTAAAGAACAAATCGAGGACAGAGAACGTAATTAGTTGATCCGCATCAGGAGCACAGCAGGAATCTTCTTCTGTGCTCCTGACACGAGAGTATAGAAGACATCTGGTTCATAGATTTCACAATAGAAAGTACAAACCAGGGATTCGAACTCTGGGAAGGTATGAATTATGTTTGCTCATGTATAGAAATGGAGTTGACTTTTCAGACTGCCAATGAGATATCGTGAACTCCAGTCGTAAAGGCATCATCCCTAATTGGGCTCTTGTGTGCATGGACAGGCAAATCTCACTCGTGTGACCTCCTAAGCTTATAATTCACGTCTGAGCGTGAACATGGCAAGGAAATACAGCGTTTCCAGGCTGGTCTCCTGTCGATCGTTCAGGTACTTCAGTTCTGTTCTCAGCTCTGTTTAGGTTTAACATGTTACCGCCATGTTTCCTGCCAAGTGCATAAACCGGCTGCCACTTGCTTCGCAACGTCAAGAAGCAGCCGAATTATGGAATTGGCGAATGGGCAACTTGACAATCACCAATTGTCTGAGTCTACCGACCGACCCACTGCTCTTGTGATGCACGGAGCGTGGGGTCGTGATACAGATTCGTTTATTCGAGATTGTAAATGAGATCATAACATTAACCAGTTTAGACATTGTCATTTTGTCTTTCAAGTACTTTCGACAGCGCGCATTAGCGTCTGACGTAGAGAAGAAGTTGCATGGATAGGGGATATTTATTCAGGTACCTTGCTACCTTCGTTTGTATGCATGTGAGACTAGAGGTGCAGTAGAATAGATAGCATCTGATCACCAGAGAAATTGGTCCTCTCTTCTTCCATTTGCCCCAGGAATTGGTTCTCTTTGCCGTTCGTTTTCCTTGATTTTGTAGTTCCGTCGCTGAATCTTTCATCTCGTCTTTTATTCCATGCGTACCATTCTCTCTTCTCTCTATTCCCAAAAAAGGAGATGTGAAAGTTTCTCGCATGTTCAGTTTTGGATGAAGTTTGTCATCTGCGGTTTATGAACACACAAGCTCCCAATGTCAGACGTACTAGAGTGCTGTAATTCATAGGATGGGGCTCCTGCCGATTCCCTGATGTTATCTAGGTGCTATATGGACATACATACAATGTGCTTTTGCTTTTGCTTTTGCTTCCTGTTATCTATGCAGGATGTTAATTGATCAGCGGAATTGGTTCCTATGCGCTAAGCGACGTTGCAGCGAGTTTAACATTGATGACGATATTGCTGATTCATTTAGTAAACAGCTGATAGCCCACTGTCACGGCAAAGCTACCACTCTGATGATGAAATCTCGTGACTCTGTGAGGGCTCTTTTCTTATTATCACCATTAACTCGATACCCTTGACCTGCTGTACCTGCTATACCTGCTGTAAATAATGACTTGTTATCTGTACTCATTAGCTCCTCAAAATCTAGCCACTTCCACCGATCTGATTTCACAGAAACTCTAAAATTGAAGGTTCTAGATTCAAGCCTCGAAAGCTTGAAGTAGTCCTTGAAATCAAATCATGGACCCACCACAGTCACATATTGCTCAACATTCACGACTCCTGACTTCACCTTGTCCATGGCAATGGGGCGATATTATATATATATATATATATATATATATATATATATATATATATACAGAGACAGACAGACTTGACGGAAGAGAAGTTTTTGGGGACAATTTTCGAGCATGGCGGTCAAATGAAGGATGCCAAGCTATTTTGAATTGATAATAGTTGAAATTATTTACAAGTGGTCGCCTTGGTATAGATTCAAAGCAACAAACTTTGCACAAATCATGCGCGATTCAACGTGACCTTGCTAGCTTGTGAAGGAAATGAAGTTTGCGAAACTTCACAGCGTTCTGGTGATGGTAGTGTACATACTTACTTCAAACGTGCTATGTTTTTTAAAAGGGTGACTAAATATGGCACAGCAGAGAAGAATGCAGAATGGTCACTATCCTTCAGATAAAACTTCTGAACGGGTGGGTTCCTGGTGGTTATATTTACCTGAACGTTAAAAGGAACGGTCTTGTCCATTCCACATAATATGTAGTATCGACTAATCGACCCGTATCTTTTCGGTGTGAGTGTCATGACCTCGTCGAAAACACTCAAAGGTGTATCGTCTAGTAGAGATAACGCCAAATTGATTTGCTGTGGAAACCCCCACCAGATCTATGAGTGTTCATCATGAGTCGAGGACCCCTTGATGGACTTGGTTTATATTCATGGTAACTTATAACGCAAAAATCTGTACTAATTTGCAATCATGACTCGAGAAAGGCACGCCTGGCTACAGGCTTCAAGTAAACACCAGAGTGAGACTGCATGAACAACAAGAAGAAGGTTGGAATTGTCATAACTGATCACGTACCTCAGCTGGGCTCTGATTGTAGAAAAATGACGGAGCAACCGTGCGATTAACTGCAACTGATGTTGGGGATGAACTTCCGTCAGCTTGTTGGGGTTTGAAGAGACCTACCTGCAGGAGGGCTGCAAAGTACTGCATGCAATACAAGATACAGAGCAAGATATGAGCATGTATCAATCCTGATTCGAACAGTCTCTCTAAACTTGCTGGACATGACACTGAATTCGTGGAGAAGTAGCCTAAACCTCAGAACTCACTTACACAGCGAGAGGAGATCGCAAATGCGTTTCTGAAAGAATAAAACGAAAGCAAATTCAGTGAAGTTTAGTACGTTTGAATAATTATGGGAAGAAGAATGATGGGATAACATACAGGGCCGATGACCTCGAGCGGGGTTTCGCCATGTTGGGGCATAAGTGCTGAGAGAAAAATGGCCTTATCAACCTTATCAGGGTGCGCTTCCATGGCGTAAGAGACCGAGACTCCTCCTAGGCTGTGCCCGACCAGAACGACCTGCTTGAGCAAAAGATCATTAGGTAGATTGGAATGAAACTGTTAAAGACTAACTTCACCTTCATGTGAGGGAATTCCATTCCTACCTTCAAATGGCTTGTCAAAAATGTTCAGGCACAGGACACATTGTCATGTATCTCAGCCATTCAACTTGATAACTATCATGACCACTACCCCGAAGAGAATAACAGAAGACCAGACAAGTTTTCAATACATTAATAAGTTGGTGAAAGATATGTAAACCAGCTTTGAATGATTGATGAACTCTCTTGGAACGACTGTCAGGAAGCTTGTTAGTAGACCCTCAGTACTCATCGCCCTGACTGCCGTTTGGGCATTGGAGTTTTTCCAGCTACGACAATTGACGAGCTATATCGATAAAATCCATGAGGTGAGATGAGGAACAGACCTTCGGCTCGGATGAAGACCGATCTGACAAGAAATCTGTCAAGGGCTTGGCGTATTGGGATATAGTCATTACGTTATCAGCAGGCGTCCTATCTAATCCGGCGGACGTTAGATCCAGTGTCACTGTGTTAAAACCTGCAGCTTGCATCATGGTAACAACTTGGTACCAGCACCACGCCCCATGACCAGCCCCATGCACGAAAACCATGGTCCGCTTGGCAGGAGCAGCATCAGCAGCTATCTGATCCATCCGCAGCTGCACACATTCACATTGTAGTTCATCAGCTTTTGCATGTCAACACGTGACACTTCAGTGCAGTGAAGATTTGAAGTTTGGACGATATTGCTGAAGTAAATATAGCAAGTCTTGATTTGTTGGATGCTTTGAGTGTCAATCGGTATCCCAGAACAGGATTTAGCTATCGTTTTCCATCCAGTGAAACTTTCCATGCCATGCAATAAACAGTAGCAAGTCTTGAGAACGTTATCAAGGATTACAAACGTTCAACTCTTTGTACATCTCTCACTGGTGGCTTGCCGTGCCTGTAAAATTTCAGTCATACACTGCGCACGGCTCTCTCGACGAGTTTAGAAATCCTTGCAAAGGGCTGGTTAGCGCCAGAAATGTTATCAGAAGAATATACGTTCGAACAAGGGGAGTCAATCAGTGAGTTATATAGAATCTGGACAACGAGACTCTTCCTAGACATGTTTGTAAGACCACATGCACATTTCAGACAACTAGAAATGGTCTAAGCATCCAAACTGGGGAACTTTTTTAGCTCATTTCCTTTGCAGATGAGCACATGACAGCAGTGGCTACTCATGTTCCAACCATTTTCGAAGAACCGGAGTCCGACGATGAATATCAGTTCGCATCAAGTCCTCTGCAAATTATTTTAGCCGAAATTCGTAGTAGTGATCTCTACACCTCGAAAATCTACCCTTCATTCCAGTTATCATTTCCTTCAGTGCAGTTATTACACAGTACAAATCCTGCATATCTATCTTCAGTCGAATTTTCTTATTCTGGAAACTAAACAGAATTATCACAGGAGATGGCTCTCACAATATTTGCGCTGACTGGCGTCGTTAATGAAGACAGAGGGCTGCAGGTGAGAAGAAACATCGTTGCCATCAGTCGGTAGTTCATGATCCCCCTATCCATATTTCGAATAACCTGCAAGGATAACAACCGAGGAGAGGCGGAACAAAGTCTCTGCAACGATGGTGGTTGAACTAAAAGGACCGAGCTCAGACCGGCATTTATACTCTTCCATCCACGAGAACAGCCAGTTCAACAAGTAACCGTTCACAAGAGTTAGTACAATTTGCCTATACAGGTTCAAGGTGTTGTCCGGATTTGATGCACCACTTCTGTCATTTGCGAGAAGACTGACTCCAGAGTCATCTTAAAGATTCTGTAAAAGATTACGAAAGCCTTGAGAACTTCACTTGAATTACAAGTCTGATTAACCCGAGAATCACATGTCATTGACTGATCTCAGTCCTACTCATGAGGTGGAACGCATGAAAGCAAGAGCTACATGCTCTAGCTAATTTCTCGAGCTTGCAAACTTTTCCTCAAGATATCACCTTTTGTTCTTACAAGATATTTTTACGATCTACTTTGCACAAAAAGTACCTTTGTATTTTATTTATATTTGCCCTTGACCCTCTAGGCGAAATGGCCTCCCTCGGCTGTCTCCCAGAAAGCTTTTGGGAATCCAACAGCCCTTCTTTTGTAAGTCCTTATCTTCTTCTTCAGTCTCTTGTCAGTATATCCGGTCATTTTAAATTTTTCTTCTATTCTAATTTCTCTCTGACAGTGCCCAGTGCTTATCGAATGTGGCGAGTTCAGCTGAACACTGCATATGGTCCGGAAGCAGGTGATAAGAATGAAGGTTTGAAATCCGATGGTCCGGTAAGAAGCAAGAATCTGACAGGAAGAAGCCCTGCTTGCGGACTGGAGATCCACTTGGAAAGCTGGTACAGATATATATCAAGCAAAATCAGGCATGAATATCACGAGGAACAGAAGGTTGACCCCGTGGAACCTATAGACGTACTTCCAGCTTGTGCAACAAACGGATCCGATTGCTGGTAAGGAGGACTGAGGCCAGTTGGGAGCACTTCACAACAGATTTATTTGCTTATTCTTTATGTTCGGTGGGGTAGAGAAGTTGGAGTGAACACGATAAAGATATCCTGTAGGAAACTGTTGTATTTCAGACTGCTGCCGAAGTTGGTACCCACAATCATGGAAGTACCAGACTTATGTAACATGTGGATGCCCGTTTACTTTTCCTAAGTTGCTGCTTTGCAGATGTGAGCACCTCATGTACATGAGTCGTGTCCACATGTCGGATGTGGCCATTTGTTCTGACCAATTGGATCCCAGAGTCTGAGTTGCAGATAACCTGCAGCTGAGGATGATGAGAAGAAGCCAATGACATCGTGTTGACGAGGGACGAACCTTGGTACGTGACGTCTTGCCCGATGTGGAGAAAGTAGAATCAAGCAAATTGACCTTCATTGTCGTCATGAGAAAGATTCAGTACTGACAAAGATATATGCCCCATACCAGACTGCAATACAATCAGAGGAGTATACTCATTGAAGATGAATGCTCATCATTGATTGTCCGCAATAGCAGTGCCTGGAAAGGGAGGGTGCCTGGAGGTAAAACTTAATATCAATTATTTTTCAGGCTACAGAGCATCCCGGATTCATATGAGACTTGAGGGTTCGTACTTCTTCACATTCTTGAAGCTTGAAACTCGATCCGACAATTGGACATCGACA